TAAATCGGAGCTGAACTGGGAGAGTGACTATTTGCAGGGCATCAAGAGAGTGCGGCGGCTCTACTGCAACGTGGGCATTGGGTTTCACCTGCAGGTGCTCCCGGATGGCAGGATAAGCGGTGTACACAATGAGAACCAATACAGTGAGTTCATCCCGGATAGAAAAGCTCTGGGAGAGCGAGGGGGAAAGCGCAGCTGTAACCCAATGCGCACCGGGACAGGCGCCGTGAAAGTTAGAGCAGCCCACTCTGTCCCCGCATGATATTGAACGAGAGCCGCTGTCGGCTTGGTTGAAAGTTTGCCCCAAAGCAAAAAAACAGTGGCCTGAGCTGTGCATCCGTGCAGTGCGAACCAAGTATCCTTCACCTCCTCCTCCTGCTGCTCCTCCTCCTCCTCCTAGGCCAAAAACATGACATGAATGCTTGGACCCAGTTTAGAATCCCAACTTTATTTTTACCCCTGCTGCAGGAGGAGCACACACACACACACAAACACAATCTCAGATCTACACACACGCGCACGCGCACATCGCAGCATCATAAATGCCTCATATTCAGTGATTGAGCGGTGAAAGCATCCTCCAGTCGCAATGCACCTGCCAGTGTTGGTTCCACCCATCACTGCTGCAGAGCCAGAGGCCAGAGCTACAGTCGCAGCGTGACTCTGACTTTTTCCCCCCTCTTTCTGTTTTCTCTAAAGGTCTGATCGAAATCTCCGCCGTGGACCGAGGAATCATCAGTCTGTACGGAGTCAGGAGCGGCCTGTTTGTCGCAATGAACAGCAGAGGACGGTTATACGGAGCGGTAGGTTTTTTTGTGCGCAGCTCCGGGCTCTCACTCACTCACTCACTCACTCTCTATTTGACCATGCCGCGTGCGCGCGTGCGTGCACACAACACACACATACACCCGTCAATGTAAGATGAGTTCACGTAGCTGCTTTTGCATCGGTGGGTTCAAGTACTGTTGTGTTATTAATATTTCCTGACGATAGGGGGTTTCACAGAGCTGCAGTTATAAAGTTACCTTTGAACACAAAGTTCTTTACGTCAAAAAAAAAAATATTTTAATTGGAAACAAATACGTGCTACGGTAGTGTAGAGTCACAGCTATAACTATAGAAAGTGAATTAAGGAACGAGGTGTCAATGTTGGAATGCTTCTGCGAAAGTGAATTAAGGAGCGAGGTGTCAATGTTGGAATGCTTCTGCTTTGGTTCTCAAGCTATGGTACGTGTACCACTGGTTGTACCGTTGCTAATTCTTGTGGTATGTGGTGGAATCTGCTTTTGTAAATGACAATGGCAAAATAGTGGAGGGACATGTGTGTGTATGGTTTCAGAATTTAATTTAGGATCCAGTTGTAGTACTACTTCGATGTACAGTGTAGTTTTGTCTTAATGAATAGCCTAATAATTCAGAATATATTATCCTCTTCAAATACTGGTGTTAATGGAACAGGGTGGGACTGCTGTGCTGTAATTAAGTGTGTGTGTAACATAAGTGTGAAAACCACTGCTCCAGGCAACATACGTGAAGTTAATTATGACTTTGCCCTCAGAAATTTTGAAAATTTGTTGAAATCAATATGCCAGAATTGTTTAAACTTGACTAAAATAATTGGAAAATGTCAAAATTAACATCAAGACAGAGTAAAAAGAAAGGAAATTAAATAAGTTGTGTTTTTTAGCCACTGCAGCCAGGTCCGTACATCCATAGGAAATCAACTAATTAATTAAAATGTTGTGTCAGTTACGACAAATGCGTGGTTGATTGCAAAGGAGCAACAAAAGCATTTTAAATTCAAGTAAGCCCTACTTAAGGTGGTATTTGTGAATTATGCTAAAGGTTGGGTCTGTAATTTTCCAATGTACTTGAACTATTTTTATGCGGGAACCTGTCAAAGAATTTGTTTTTAGTTTACGTTCCAAAATTACTTGTAATTTACCTTTGAATCATTCAGGAAAAAACAGGCTAACAGTTGCATTATGACTGGTTGAATCTTTGTGCATTCATAGACTTTTTATTGACAGATCTGGACTGCAGGCATGCCAGTCAATCATATGCACCATGTAAATCTGTTAGAGTGAGACCATTGAGTTCCTGAGGAAAAAGTCATCGTAACAAATGAGAGGTCTCTTAACATTTCACCTTTGTCTCTGCATCACTGGTAGTAAATGCAGATCGTTCATGTGGTGACTATTGATGAACCTTCGCACCAGCACAGCAAACACTTTACATGGACTTCACTCATTAGAGTAGCAGGTCATGTACTACCACAATATTTCTTAAAGACTTTGCACATTAAGCAGCATTTCCTGCCATGAAAGTAATATTAACTGTATTAACTGTTTTCCTCTTTCCTCTCCTAACCTTTGGAGAATGTGTTGCAGTCATAAATGTGTTGAGGTTCAGCAACACAGTAAATAATAATAAAATAATTTAAAACTTTACATTGGATACTGTATATTATGAGGATTTTGTTTTTCCACATGTCATTCATTCAACAGTGATTGTCAAAGTGTGGGTCATGACCCAAAAGTGGGTCACAGGGCTAAATTTGGTGAATCGAGGGATTGGATAACGCCAGTCCATCCAAACCTTAAGTAAAACTAAAGCCTGGGTTTGAATGTTTGAGGGCTGTAGAAATGTGGTGACTTGACTAAAATGACAGTTTAATATATGTTATATATATTTATAAACATATAAATATAAATGTATATATTAAGTTTATTTTCTGTATATGTATATAAATTTTAAACTGTAATTATATATATTGTTTTGCTGACAATATTGATTTCAATTTAAACAATTCTTGAGTTTCACTTTCAACTTCAACGTAACTGTCAGCATTTTTAGGCCTCAAAACATCTTAATATGTGTAATTTGTTGTAAAAATACTTTTATTGTATTCATGTTTTTCTTTATGAGTACTTGTGTAAAATAATCACGTCTCATATAACGTTACTTTTCTGTGTTTGTAAAAGTTACTCTTTTTTTTTTTTTTTTTTTTAGAAATACTTCGGGGAGGAGTGCAAGTTCAGGGAGACCCTGCTGCCGAACAACTACAACGCCTACGAGTCTTTTGTTTACAAGGGCTTCTACATTGGCCTCAGCAAGCATGGCCGCGTAAAGAGGGGCAACAAGGCCACCACCGCCATGACCGTCACACATTTCCTCCCCAGACTATGAGAGAAACTGGCAATAAGTCACTAATTTGCACATGTGGATGTTCTTCCAGGTAACACACAGAAACGCTTAGTCACGATACACACGGGCGACGGACTGCATAGGAGAAGAAAAACTATTTATTCTGTTTATAAATATATATATAAATATATCTGTATATTTGGATAGCTATCTTTGTATATGTATGCCATACTGTGCTGCTTATTGTTTTTACGGATGGGCAGAGTTGAAACCTTGGCCCGTCTCACTTTACCTTGGTGCTTGCTGTAACCGAACTATGTTTCACTTCCTTTTTTGAGATGAAGGATGAGCCGTATCCAGTGCTTTGAACGAGTGAAATGAATCCTTTTTATTACCTCAAAGAACCACTACTAGACGAAGGGATGCATGGACTTCTGCGCAAATACCTGCTAAGTTTATCCTTTCTTTCGAAACCCATTGAATGCTTGATGGCTCCCTTGCCCGTCGGTGTCAGCGGGGAGGGAGACGAACTTTAAATGCACTACCGTCGCTGCACGATTTTTAAAGGTGCCTTGGTGTTCCCACTTGTGGCCCCCTTGGACTTGCATGTAAGAGACACCCAGCTGGAGTCAGAAATAGGGCTGACACTTCGGAGAGGGCCTCAGAAGGGGGAGGGGTGGTGGGTTGTGACTATCTCTGGTTTATTTTCTTTTCTGTAATTAGATCGATTAAGTAATATACAATCTGTGGCTGCGACCGGAGACTGGTCGGCCATGGTGCCTGGCACAGGCCAGCAAATACACAGGGTGGAACACTTATCTTATCTGAGCATGGAGAATTTTTTTTTTGTTTTAAAAAAATGTTTGACCTGGTCTTGCATCTGCACAAGAATCTAGTGAGCGAATAGAGCACACAGTAGAAATGTATCTGCACACGGGTTAAAGGTTGCTGTTTTCGGAGCTTTAGCTGCTTTTGAAAAGAAAAATAATAATAATGATGTCCTTTCTCAATGAAACCAAATGGGGGGAAAACAGTGTAAATAGTAGCAAATGTGAGAAAAAAAATCGAAGAAAGTCAGGAGCTTTTCATGCTGCTTTCCTCGCAGCCGTCCCCAAACAAGGCAAAAAGAGTTGCACAGCGAACTATCTACGATGGGGTTTTTGTTGGACAGGAATCGTTCTCCATTCATATCTTTCCTCCTGATTTTATTCTTGTGTCTGGTGGGAGTAGGTGTGTACCATTCCACCCCCCCTGCCTGCCAGTGTGCTCTGCAGCAGCACTGCAGTGGCAGTGAGGTGTCAGGAGCTGGAGGCAGCAGATACTTATTGGTACAATTACAGATGACTCAATGGTTTGTCTGTGGAGAACTCAAGGACAGTGCGGACAGTGAGTGGATGCGTCTGGTAGATTGGAAAAATTCATTAGAATAATGATGTCGCTATTGGAAAAAAAACCTTCTTCAAACCTACGTCACGATCAGCTTCCATCCAGGGTGGTGTTTAAAAAGGAAGTCAGACAGTTTCAATCCAGGAAGCACGCATGTGAAGAAGACACCTGCTGTCTTTGTTCTTTGTCAAAGACCCCCCGGAAGGAATGTGGACCTGTCATCTTCCCACATACCTGAGTGCCCCCTGCCATCCCACACTTTTTTGAGCTCTGTTGGCCCCTTCTACGCCCTCCCCTCACTCGCCCGCTGCAAGCACGGNNNNCCTGCTGTAACCCAGGAGCTTCCTCCTCTCCTTTCAGCCTTTTTTAGTTCAAGGTCAGAGTCACAGCCCGGCCTTGGCTGGCCGGGGCTGGTCATCTAAATGGGTCGGACTGTTTCCATGAAGCGGGGACATTTCAAACCAAACTTTACAGTATGATTAAGCGAGGTCAGAGCGCCAAGCATTGTCTGTTTCCTGATCTACACTGTTGCCAAATCAGTCTGACGCGTCCTTTTTCTGTTCCAATGACTTTAGAAAAACGAGGCTCTACAACATGCACCCTTCCCCACTCTTCTCCCTGTGTAGTAGTGCTGGGAAAATTGTGGGGAGGGGGAATCTGCAGAATTATTGCAGATGGTGAGAAGCAGTTGGAATCATGCAGAGCTTCACCTCTACTGCTGCTGCTGCTGCAGCTGCAGGTCAGTGAAGCAGAACCACTCCCTGACCATCCTCAGGACATGCCTGTGTCACTGCTGCTGCACTATCATCAACATTTCTCCCCACCACAGCATCACCTGCTACTCCACTGTCATCGCTGACGTAGATAAAATTATCACAGTATTCTCATCAGTCTGCTGTGGATGCAGAAAACAACGTCACTGAAGTGACCGATTGCGCTCCTTCCAAAAGCTGTACCCAGCACTACTGGTCCACGTTCAGCACCGTGGAAGAGAGCGTTAGAGTTAAGCCCTGCCTACTACCACTGCTTCCTAAAAGTCAGATGTCTGAAGCAGCACTTTATCATTTCCATCATGGTTAAAATCAAATGCAAAGAGTTTACTCACAATTCATCGTAGAAACAAATATCAAGCTAAATCCAAAGACTCTAAATGACAAATGTATGTAGCAATCTGCAGAGCCGGCTCTAGCCATTTTGCGGCCCTGGGTGAGACAATGGTCTGCTCCCCCTGCACATCACTCCCAAAAAATGAATGGAAAACAGCTGCACGACAGACCTGAAGCTTTTATGAAACACGTACACATACTGAAAGACAATAAAAATAAGAATGCAATGTACTTCAGCCAATTAATTATTATTGCTTTTATTTATTTTATTATTTTTTTAAATATGCAGTGGCGCCCCCTACCTGCAGATGGCGCCCACAGCGACTATCTATGTGCCCTATGTAAGAGCCAGCTCTAGTGATCCTGTTGCAAAAGTAAGAAAAAGGAACGGCCAAAAATGTGCAACTAGTTTCTACAAAAAAAAAAAAAAGAATGGGAAGAAGAAGCTACTTTAGACAGGCTAGGAGCCATGGTCTCGATGACTGGTTTCAGGTTTTCTGAACTAGAACATGTTGTGAATTTTAAGAAGTCCAAGAAGATTAGAAGACAAATGTTCGATAACTGCCCAATAACAGCGTAATTGAGGCAACCATGTTGGTAAAGAGTTAGGCAGAATGCATTGTCTCTTGTTGTGCTTCATCATACATTTTTCCACTAAATAGGATCATGGGTTTCAAAACCTACTTACTTAAAAAACAAACAAACTTGAAACTTGTGGTTGAAACCATAAACTGTGTATGTTCGCCGATCTTACTGAATTTGGAGTTTTCCACAGCCGTGCAACCCTTTTTGATCCGTTTCATAAATTTCACTGTCCTTGTCTTACTCACAGTCTAAAAGCCGGAACCCTAAAAGAGAAACGTTTTTCGCAGAATCAAAAAAAAGCTCACTTTTCTTCTTTGACCAAAAATATCAACTAAATTGTTGTGCTGTTAATTTCACAGCTTTTGTTTTTAAATTAAAAAGTCAGTCTAGGTGAGTAAAGTCATTGTTGATTATTGTTTAACATACCATCAGCATCCTCCAAGCCCTGAGCTCCATCAGTGTGTGCCTCATGTGTTTTTGTTTTTTTCTTTTTGTTTTCAAATTACTGCTCTTGAAAGTAGTTAACCTCCACTCGATTCCTCACATCTCTGCTCTCATATACCTCACCTTCTGCCTTAGTTTTTGGTTTGTTGATGACTTTAAACTAGGAAGAAACAAACTCCACTTATTTGTTTCTGAACTGAAAAAAAAAAAGAAAACGTCAATGCTAAGTAAGGATATTAAAGTTTTTTCCTTTTATTTTTGTACGTATGTGCTGTGCACAGCAGTCTACTGTATTCCTCAGATACCAATAAAAGTTTGTTTTTTAACTGCTGGTGAGTAAACTGTATTTATTTCTGCTGTTCTATGAGCTCTGGATGTGACGGAAACCCAATAACAAATGAATATCCTGCCTTCAATATGTACATAAAGCGGTTCAAGCAATACTGTTACGACTGTTGTTGTGGTGACTCTTTAACTTGGACCAGATTCAAGGACTCTGAGTGATCATTAAAGATGGGGTAGGCATTTTCCAGAGGCGATAATACATCATTATTGTCATGATACACCTTCAGCATTACATAGACCTGACCTGACCTGTATAGAGAATGTTTACGATTTTGCAAAAATCTGGCCTTGGACAGCACACTTTGATTAATCACCACAGACATTTCCAGTACTTCTTGAATGACAGCTACTCAAACATCAGCCAAATCTGCTGACCAAAGACGTTTGACTATGAAAAAACAAATGCCAAGGATGCAGCTGCGTCTAGACAGGAGGTCTGAAGGTGGTAGAGGTCAGGATGAAGTCAGGTTACCCTGCCTTCTCTGACACAGCAAACTATGAAAGCAATTACATGCGGCAACAGCAACATAAGAGTAGAGGGTAGATTCTGACTTGTAGCACTTACTGTGACCACAATGTGGCACTAGAACATTTTTTTAAACAATATTTACATCTTATGTCCTTCAGTTCTAGAATTTGCAAATTGTCAGTACAAAAGTACAAAGGTCACACTGTCCTATTCTGAAATTGTAAAAAATCCTGTTTTAGGTTTAGTTGACGTAAGACTAAAAATTGTAAAAAATCATGACATGTTTTAGGTTTAGTTGACGTAAGACTAAACATCAACTAAACCTAAAAACATGGGTCTATGTCATGATTTTTTTCCAGGAGACATTCCCAGAAGATTTGACTAATTGTTATTAATGAATCAAATGAAATTTGCCATTTGGCTGAAGCGGAATTTTCTTTGCTCGCATAGATTATGTTAATATGGTAAAATCTGTAAAAGTAATGTGATACACTGTCAGGTTTTATATTCATATTTTACTTTAAACAACCCTTTGAAATTTCAGGCCACCGACTACCGAAGCTCTGTGTCTAAAATGAGAAGGTGGCTCCCTCTGTTGGCTCAAAGTGGAAATGCTGACATATGCAGGTGCCTGCACATTTACACAAAGCTTGCAGACATTAAATATTGTCATAATCGCAATTACTTCACGGTTGATGAAGTAGCTTTGGTTTCTATACATCTATATGATAGAACACCTAACCCTGACCTGACAAAAACAAAACGTGTTACAGATAAACGTTCGTTTTGCTGTAAATTCTTTAACGCACAATGATTGCGATCCAAACAAAAACCAGAATTCGGTAAACTGTGTGGCATTAGGAAATAGCCCACGATGTTTGGTGGACGAGTCAACACGTGTCACCAAAAATACGACTCATGTTGTCTGACCGACAGCAGGGGGGTAAACAGACAGAGGTGGAAGTGGCCCTTCCGCTGCTCCAAACCCGCACATCTGCTTTGGGGGCGAGTTTCTGTTTTTTACGCAAAGGAAGTGGCACTCGGGGGGCTTTAAATAGGAACTCTCTCCAAAGTCTGGGTTGAGTTCACGACGCAGCATCTGAAAGCTCCCAGTAGCTCGTGGTCGGAAAAGCGTAAAGTTTGGCTCCAGGATGGACATCAACAAGAGACTGGGGACGAGGGACACTCTGCTGGCACTCCTGCTCGCTCTCCTCCAGGGGTTTCCTCTCGGAGAAACGGCCCCGAATCCATCCCCGCTGGTCGGATCCAACTGGGGAAATCCGAGGAGATACGTCCACCTGCAGACCTCCACGGATCTCAACAACTTCTACTTGGAGATCAGACTGGATGGCACAGTGTGTAAAAGCACAGTCAGGAGCTCATACAGTAAGTGCGTCGGTTGTTGTTGTTGTTGTTGTATTTCAGGTTTGTTTTTTTGTTTTTGTTTTTTGCAGTTGAAAGTTTGTCCTCTAACTTTTTTTGTTTTTAACTTTCTCATTTTCAGGTGTTATTCTTTTGAAAGCTGAAACCAGGGAGCGCGTCGCCATCCTTGGTGTCAAAAGCAGCCGTTACCTGTGTATGGATGTGGAGGGCAGACCGTTCAGCTCAGTAAGTCACTCTCTCAATATCACACCGATTATTCGTTAATCGTTACGATTTATTAGAGTTAATAAAATATCGCTCGAGTGACCGACTCTGGTTCTCCAAACTTTCTAAAAGATTTTTTGTAATCTTTCATTTACTTTTTGTGTGCGAATCTTTTTACGCACGGGTTTTACGCACGGGTTTTACGCACCAAAATTACGCACAAGAACCCATCATCTAATTTTTCTCTTTTCCTACGCATCACATGAAATGCTTTATTGCTTGCTTTTATCAAGTTTAACGAATTAATGGAAACCAGTTTTCTCCATTAAAGCAGTCGAGTTTTACTGGATCTGTAGGTACCTGGAACTCATCACAGTTTTTCGTTTCGCCAAACTCAAAATTTGTCGAGATACTGATATTAGAACATTATTGATAAATACAAAATATCAATTTTAAAATTTGTTTAAACAGTATGTCGTGCGCAGGACACATAGTAGATTTTACTTCAACGAAATTGGATTTGTTGCAAAATTATGCATGGTTTTAATCTTACATTTATATTATGCTTTTTGGCCCCGACATTTACCACACGTTGTTCTTTACGCGCGAACTTAACAGCATTTTAGTACTAAAATAGATACGTTTTTATCCGTTTATGACAGTTTTAAGTTGAAGCCTCTTCCCTCATTCTTCCTCATTTTAGCCGATCTGTCTGAGGGACGACTGTCTGTTCAACCACAAGCTCCTGGAAAACAACCGGGACGTGTACTACTCCATCAGGACCGGCATCCTGTTCAACCTGGAGGGCTCCCGACAGGTGTACTCCGTGGGTCAGAACCTGCCCCAGACCTCCCTGTTCCTTCCCAAAAGGAACACGGTGCCACTGGACCGTCTCCTGCAGCACAGGGGGAAGCGCAACGAGCTTGTGGATCCAGCTGATCCCAACAACGTCCAACAGGGTCAGACAGAGGGCGGCTCGGACTCCCGGGCCATGCCGGAGGACGACACGGACCTGGAGGTGGAGACCGAGGTGGAGACGGAGGTCGGGGACGACGGGCGTAACGTATCTCGGGAGAACCAGCAGGCTCCGTCCTCCCACGACCCTTGGAATGCGCACTGGTCCAACCCAGGCAGCCCACGGGGATTCGGGGTCATGGGGTGACGTAACAGGTGAAATTTCAAAGTTAACTATTGAGTGACGCCGTCAATCCTTTAACCATCAACAACGCGTACTAAAGCGATTCATGTAGCATGGTAATCCACAGTGTCTTAGCTAACAAACATTTCCTACGGTCAACCTGTCAGAAACGTCGTGTGTTTATACACTGAATGTGGGGCTACAACTGTATAAAGATTATTTTCATTATCAATTAACCTGATGAATATATATTTTTCTTTGATGACTTTTTAGCTAGATGGACAATATCTGATACGTATACACATATATGTATGTATATGCTTAGATTTTCTCTTCCGCAAACCAAAGACATTCCACGGTGGCAAAGAAACAAAAACCTACTCTCTCTTAAACGTAAAGTGTGTGATAATTGGAGGCAGAACAACCATAACTCCATAAGGCAAAGGGTTAAGGGTTCTAATCCCTAACGTGTTTGAAATAAGCATGGCATTTGACTTAAATGTACGAATTCACGAGTCTCTCCAGGTACCACCAGTATGAGCAACACCAAACAAGAGTATTGAACAACGAACCTAATACACCCTAATGGTCCCACATACCACCAGAGAGAGACCAAATACCATTGGTGGTACACTTACTATACAACAGTAGTTTGACAACCATTGCTGAGGTTAACCTCTTGCGTCGTTCAGCCCACGCTCTTATTTTATGGATGCTGCCATCTTGTGTTGACACGTGTCAACAGCAGTCCCAACCGACATGCCACGCTTTCGAGTAAACAGCGGCTTGCTCCTCCTACACACTTTACAAATACAGAGTTGAAACCAAAGGAAGAACAGACAGGAAATGGTTGAAAGGGTGGAAGTGGGGAGAGTTGTGAAAGAATACTTCATAGTAAACGCCAACTATGTTCCCGGGGAAAGGGAGGGTCAAACTGAGGGCCCCTTTTCTATAGAACCCTAACATTTTTGTTTACTAATTATGACACACTTGACATTTAAGGTGGAGGAAAAAATCTTGTGTACTTGTTTTGATTTGAAGAGAATTTCAAAATATTGTCAACTGCAAAAACACTAGGGATTAATGAAGTAATTTAGTACAATGATATTATTTAATGAGTGATCGCAGCCCTAATGTGAATGTACAAAACATTAGACTTGACTTGCAGCCCTTTTGCACAGTTTTCTTGTCTTGGAAATTCAAATCCACCTTATCTTACTTCTATTGAGCTTCATTTAGCATCACTTGGTATCAGGTGTAACCAGTGATTGATGATGATTTATCATGATTTTTATTGGATTTCAGTCATTGTTCATTTACATTTAGTCCAATACTAATCAAGTTTTGAGGTTGGTGGAGGATTTACTCGATGAAAACAGGTCTGAACAACAGCTATGTGATAAAGATATGACGGTAAATAATTCAAAGTACACAAAAAATAATCAAAAAGTGAGAGAAAACATACAGTGAGAGAAAATCTCTGAATTATTCTGAGTTTTTTTATTTTGAGGTTTTTACAGCTGGTCTGGAAAACCAAGTTGTTGTTTTTTCCAAGACTAATGTGACTTGACCAAACGTTTTTGGGACAGAGAGGGTTGTCAATTAGTGTCAAACTATTGTTAAATAAAACCCTAAACTAGGGCTGTCACTTTTTCCAAACATCAGGTACGTCCCTTAAACTCAAAAAACATCACAGCCACCTGCAACATATATTGGCTTTGTGTCAATTTTAGGGAACAGATCACAGAGCCTTAAGTTGTCTGAGATATACTTGAAGAAATTTGATCCCTCCATAAAAAGTGACAGCCCTAACATATACATGTATAGAATGAAAATGCGCTTTTAGTAGAGTTTAAACTAGGTTCCATCTATATTTTAAAATTCCTACGCAAGTGAAAATATAGATATGGGTTAGTTTTACTGCAAAGACTTTGAATTTTTATTACTACTATTCCTTAACTACATGTCATTTGAGTCACTTGTGTTGTTACGTTTGATTTGTGTGTGTTGTGTGATTGCCAACAGTAGTAATTCATGACTTGAAGGAACAGGACAACAGGGTAAACAACATTTACAGAGCAGTGATCCTGATATCAAAAAAGAAGTATTTATTTATTTAAAAAAAAAAACATTCCTTGAGTGTTATTTATGGTATTTATGAGGATGCTCAGTGTAAATAAACACAGTATGCCATTGAATGTACGAGTAGATGTCGCGATTGGAGAGCCGTTGCTTGAATTTGGGACAAAAATAAAATCCTGATCAGAAAGTGAGCGGTGTTGTGTGTTGTTTGTATAGTACGCCAATAAGCCTTTAATATGGAAACTATGAGATTACACACACACACACACACACACACACACACACACACACACATATACATATATAGTACATACATATACATATATACATACATATATATACATACACATACACACATATATACACATATATATACGCACACTGTCTACACAACCAATGACAGCATCAAATCATTGCTCAATCTAGATATTCATCATTCCTCTCCACTCTGTCTACTTTAGTATATACTACGCGTCTATCCATCTACTACATCCTCCCATCCCTGAGCTATAAGTATTAGTATCCATCCATCATCAGTTGACCTTATTTATCCATCTGTCAATCCGCACAATCAACATTAAACAGTCTGACTTTGGTAGAATCAACAAAAATGTGTTGTCTTTGCCAGCTTTAACTCATGGAGAACTGCCATGTCATTCAGCGAGACTGTGTACAAATCCATCAGCTTCAGTTACTCTCCAAAAGTCAATAAATCAAAAATAATAAAATTAAGGAATTGCTTTAGAGACAACTGTTTTTAAAAGTTTGACATTAAACATACTTAAAAAAAACTTGGATCAACTTAACTTCCTGAAATGTCTAATAATTCATTAAAGAATTACTGATAAAAATATTTTTCAACTAATTACAAAACACCACACACAACCGTAAACAACTCTATTTGTTCACAAATGATCAAATTAAAAACTTTTTTTTCTTCAAAAATCAAGTATATAGAAATATCTGAGCTGGCGCAAAAAAAAATGTCTGGTTTTGCCAGAAATTTGTGATGTCAAAATGCCGTCACAAGCCAAAAAAGGTTGGGAACCACTGGTTTAGTTTCATCAATTCACAGCACCTCTATCCAATATGATTTTGTGTTTATTGACAACATTAAAAACATAAATAGATTACAATATATTATGTAGTTCAGGATTGAATCCTCGGCACCGACTCAAACAGAATAAAGTGACTAATAAACGTCGGAACAGGAGCTTTAAAAACACCTGTCATTATTGAGGTCCCTTCAAAATAAAATAAAAAAACACAATTACTCCAAAAGTGATTTCACCCCAAAAATAGAAACCAAGAGATTAAATAATCCCACTTGATATTGCACTGTTGAATGTAGTGAGCAGCTGCACCATCGGACAATAATACAACAATAAATAGTCTGACTTTGGTATATTTAACAAAATGAGGCATTTCTGTAAACATGGTATGACTTTCAGGTCTACTGGCGTTATACAGTACTGCACCTTTATTCTAATCTACAGATTTGATGAACACAATGACAATGTGAAATGCCCTGTACTTTGATCTGCTCATTCACTTGAGGTAAAATCATTTACCATTGGATGTAATGATGGTTTCACTATACTGTACATGTCACATGTACAGAAACTGCACACCTCTGTATACAGGTTTAAATAAGTTAAAGAAAGTGTACTCTTACACTTTAAAAGTGAGGCTTTAAAAGAGTCAGTTCAGTGATGAAGAATTCAAGTATTTACTTTATAGTTGTGTTTTTGGGCTTAAAGCATATTGATCATTTATTTAGGTTGAAGACGACTGTCAGTTGAAGAAATGCTAATTTTATTTATTTGTATTTATTTGCATTGACTAATTTTTAGTCATAGATATTGCAGGAGAGCCAAGGGCCCCTTGGGTGTTGTCTTAGTTTGATATTTTCTACACTCCCGATCTACACTATTCAGTGGGGATGTTTTCCAGATGGTTCTTTCTGTTGGTGAAGATACACCGTGCTTCGTGGAGGACTGGGCCAGACTCCGACTGGCTTACAGTAATAATAAAGCGGCAAATACCTGTGTTTGGACAGGGAGACATGAGCTGAGACACCTTGACTTCTGGAGGCACCGAGCACTTCAGGTCCTCCACAAAGTGTCTGACAGCTACGCGGATGAAGGCGCCGTGACTGACCACCAGCGTGTGTATCGAGACCCCGTGCAGACCTTCATTTACACAAGAATTGCAGTCTGAGGAAGCGGCCGCCGCCACCCCGTGGTCAGTGACCCCTTCTGATAATCCAGGGGATGCATCTGACCCGGACGAGCCATGTTCCTCCAACATTTGCTTGAAAAGGATTTTGAGGAATTTTTTGAATCGCAGCTTCACCTGAAACAAGGTGACATCATCCAGAGCTGAGAGATCAAACTATTTTTGTTGAGAGTAGAGGTTTCCACTCCAGGTTTTGCTTTTAAAATAATATTTACAATATTTAAAATATTTATTTTTAAATTTTTACAAATGAGTTAATCTGTCTAAATTAATTGTAGTCATTTTGGTCATTTACATAAAAGCCAAAAATATATTGTAAACCACAGACCTGAGTTTAACTATTTGAAAGACCATCTAATAGAAAATTCTACTGCATTTAAACCTGCAGCCAAAATCGGGCATCAAAATGCAATGTCAAATATGAACACTGTAGGGCGCTGTTGTATAAGCAATGCATTCAATGAGTTTTTTTAGGTTTTTTTTTTTCTTCAACATTGATGATAAGTCCATACAGAACGCTGTATGAAGATACTACGACTCTCTTATCTTACTATAATAAAACCATTTATCATTAAACAAAGAAACTTCCACAAAGCTCTCTAAAGTATGCCAGAAAGAGAAACTTGCAGTATATATTTGTGGGTAATAATTGGTTGTTTTTGACTTTGGCTTAAGTGCACTGGCTATGGTAGACAGTGACATTAGCCCACATCATATTGGACCCAACAGTTGAATTTTCTTTTTGGCACAAACCGCCCTTTAAAATAACACTTGAGTCACTTCTTCTCAAAACACTTCCAAGTCATGTCGTTTAGCTGTTAAAGCAGGAATTAAAATCAGGACTTGATCTGACTCACCTGACCCAAAGTTTCTCCTCCTGGTGGAGTGTAGTCACGACAGGACTGACCCGCAGCGTTGGCCATGTTCTTCAAATTCTCTTTTGGATGCCCTTCGGCGACGCCAAAACTCTGTGTGAACAACAGAAAAGTAACTCAAAGCTCTTTCAGACTGATGCTATCAGCATCTGATATTGTCTTTTGTACAGCACATGTAGAAGACAAAACAACCAGCTCTTACTCTTTCTCTGAGTAATGGCTCCAACACCATGTCCATGCCTGAAGAGTGAGTGTTGTTCCCCACAATGATTTCAGCTGTCTGCAGAGGAAATGTTGCATGGAAATGACTGAGTCAAGTTTACAATAAAAACAAAAACAAAAAAAAACATACATTCATAATTTGGTGAGCATCACTGAGTCAACGCCATGTCATCACAAAATCATTCCCTAAGTCATTTCCTGCACATCCTGTTTTTCCCCTTTTCTTTAATAATTTACTGTGAATTTAAACTGGTTTTACTGCAGTATATGTTCACTAGAAATTAAACTTAATTAAACACAAATGTGGGAAAATAGTAAAGGCTCATCCACAGTTTATTGGGACAAAAGGCTACGACTCAATTGTTTACAGCATAAACAGACAGTTTTGACTTGTAATTTAGTCTCAATCACCTAAGGCAACACCACAACTCAAGCTGTCAATCATGCAAAGTACAAACAAGAATCTAGAGCAAATGTGGCTACTTTTACTTGATTTAAATGACATAATTATTTGCTCAAATCATTTATTATTATGGTTTATTATTTCAATAGCTACTACCTCTATCTGACCACCAAAAATCTTGGTAAATAGAAAGTAGAAGAAGTAGAAGTAGAAGATATTTCCATTTAGAGGAAATTGATGATAAAACAAGGCAGGAGGACATTGTTTAAAAAGATTGTCATCTCTAAATGGGTGATGTAACAGGGTTCAAACTAAATTGTATTACATAACCTTTAGGTAAAAAAAAAAAACAGATTCCGGATTTGGAATGACGAGAGTGATATCTCTGTAACGCTCATCATTACACTCATCTTACATGTCTGGCTCGTTGCAGGTTACTGGAGAACACGTTGCTGAATGTTATGTCTTTGAGGTACTGTCCTGCCGCTTCGGCCTGTAGCACACCAGTCTCTGACAGGGGTGTGTCGACACCTTGACCTGCAAGCACAAATCCAGAATTTCCAACTTAACACTATGCACATTAAAGCAAGATCTGCATCATTTTTAAAATTTGTGAGATTTTTTGTGGTAATACTTCTAAATGTGTTCAGGAGTTTAACACTTTACACTGAGTTTGTGCTGTGTGTCATTGTGTTCATTTAGTGTCATTTTCCCTTTTATAAACGTTATAAAAATTGGGTTAGAAACCTTAAACTCCAGCTGTCCATACGACGTACACTATCCACTTACAAGTCACATTTTACCGGTGTTAACCTTGTTATTATTTATTTTTAAAAATAACAGCACATGCAAAATATATTTCTATGTAGAAGTTTATAATTTATTTTAAAAACTACGCAAAGAATACGTTCAGCTTCAAAGTGTTAATTCACATACCTTGCAGAAGTTTTTGTCTGTTGTAGTACGTTTCCCCACTGAATAAAGACAAGAATGACAATAGATACGTTTTAAAAATGTTTGGACTGGGCCAACAACAAAACAGAAATATAGGCCAAAATCAAAAGGAATTGGAAAGTTAATCAAGTCTTGTTTCTGGTAACAGTTTCAAATTGAGTCGCCATCTTACTCGTTAATATTTAAATGTACAGATATAAAAAAAACACATGTTCAGTCGCGTTTGTGCCCTAAGATGAAGTAAAAGAAAACAGAGTGTAAAAATATCAACTTACTGTCTTACGAGCGTTAAACTAAACCTCAACATCTTGAGCAACTGTTCAGTAAAATATTCGGAGTTCACTTCCAACTGCGTAACGACGTCATCAAAGTGCGCCCTAGTTCAGGCGGATGTAGTTTCAGGCAAAAGTAAAGCTCTTCCGTCATACGGCAAAAATAAAAGCGTTCTAAAAGGATAAATAATTATAAATAGTAAATTAATGATGGTTCCTCATCAGAAGCTTATACTTCACATTTGGAAATACCCAGAGTTGTGGTCACTTCCGTAAATATGTTCCCCTCGGAGATTTTAAAGCCCAACACAAAACGTTTGTCTAAAAATATGGCTATTCTTTAAAAGCTGAGATTTTTACAATCTTTTGACAATTTTTTAAAGCGATTTTAATAATCAATTATGCATTTCTTACATACATAACTAATTAAAAATAGATTTCAAAGCTGATGCATTTGAGGTTGGAGTCCATCTTGTTTTTTAGAGGATATCAATTGGATCACATAAAAAAACTGTTTAAAAAAAAACCCTTTTTTTAAAAAAAAGCAGTTTGCTTCTTGAATCCACCTTGACTCTATCCTTTGCATTTGCATTACTACCATTTTTATCTATATTTCTCAAAAAGAGGAAAACAATTTAAGACTAAATTCTGGTCAAAGACTATTAAAATAGCTTCTCTTGTGTCTTGGTCCCGATGTTTTCTCCACTAGTCTATCTTGGTTCTGGTTGGAACCAGAAGATAAGAATATGCTTTCAAGACAGAACAAATGACGCTGTCAATGTGATTTTAGCCAATTTATTGAGGAGAAATTGATGAGGTACCCTGTGTGATGGCACACAGGGACAGTGGAAAACAAGTTTGGAAACATGACCACACCGAACAACGGCAAAACATTCTTGTGGCTTAAATTTTGAACGGGACCTCCAAAATGAATGACATTCCACTTCATTCCAATGAAAGGATCTTGACCCTCCAGGAAAGAAAAAAGATGTCACTGTAGTACTGATAAACATGCAATAACACATGGTGTCTTGCCACCCAGTACATAGAACAAACTATTTGAAAGTCTAGGCATTTTAACACTTCAATAAAATCTGGTTAACATGTTTTATATTCTAACTTGTACGTTCTCTCATCCAAACAGAAAAAAGTGAAACCCGTCCAAAAATTATAGAAAGTGTGTGTGTGTGTGTGTGTGTGTACACGTGTGCTATGAAGTGTGATGAGGTAATGATGAGATGGGCTCTCGCTCTATGCATCCAAATTAACCTGAGGTACACAAACATTACAAAGAAGCAGCAAGAATATGATAGAGTATAAAGAAACAAACTGAAAAAAAAAATCAAAATAACAATAGAGGAATAAAAACATGCTAATCAAAATAGATCGGCAAACACAAGTACTTCCAGTCCCACACCAAACTGTTACATCCCCTCCAGTACACATACAACAGAGAAGCGAAGACGACATATACAAAATTTATAATATAGCAGCACACAAGTGAATCACAATAAGGCAACTTTGTGTAAGACAAGAAGAAGAAAAAAAAAAGCTCCATAGCAGCAAGAGACTTATGTGTATAATCTATGTTTGTCACTTTGGAATTACAAATTATACACAAAACATTTAATAGCATGAACTTTTTTTTCAGTTTAAAGCATCTTTCTTCTTTTTTTGTTTTTTTTTTAAAGGAAAAAAATATTTGGTTTTTGCACAACGAACATGCGTGAACACATTCTGAAAAAAACAAAATTTTTATTCGAAAGTATGAGGATTTTTGTGGCACTTTTTGCTCTTGGGCAAAATGGTTTTATATACATATACAAACTTTCACACTATGTAAACCCCTTTTTACCCAAGTCTATATACTGTATGAGAGAAGGTCACAAAAATGGCAATTTTATTTTCTGTTTCTGTTCAGAGAGCAGTTTCCATGAAGACTTTGAACACAGTACATGTGTAGAAATAATATTGACAAAATAATTGGAAAGTTTTGGTATTGAATTAACAAAAGATTTCAAGTAAATAAAGCACAGAAAAAAAAGAAAAGAAAAGTCTACATGTGACTTGGCATTCTTTAGTTACTACACTAAACTATAACTGATTTTCCTACGTCTACTCACCTGTCGAGGCATAGCTTTCAAGATAACATGTGTTACCCCGTGGGAATCCAGCCCAGGAAAAAAAAAACAAATCAAATAATTTAAAGAAAGTCTAAAATTAAAAGAAAAATATAATGAACCTACCATCCTACTGTATCCTCCCCTAACAACCATCCCCTTACCGTAAGGAGTGTGTTTTTCAAAGTGCATCAATATTGTGTTAACGTCGCCCACTCCATGTAAAAATTTAAATGGCAAAAACAAATTGTTATCAGGAGGAACCGTGGCGAACCCCAACTAATCTGAAGACCAACCATTAACAGCATATCTGCTGCTGACGCAACAATTTCCCAAATATGGGATCAATATAGTAGAAATTATTTTTTTTATTTTTAGTCAATCCCCCTTCTGTGTGTATCACTCAAGTATCACAAAACATTAAATAGCTTAAGTTCATTTCCTCGCTTCTTTACTACCAACAATCAGTTCATCTCCACACTTTTCAACATGCGTATCACTTTCAAAATCCCACATAAGAATCCTCTCCATCATCACTCATTTCTCCCAAACCTCCAAAAACTTGACAAACCTTTTCTTTACTGGCAAAATGAACTTAACTACACATCTTTACCTGCGTTTTGCTCAATTTTCATTTCATACTCAACTGCTGTCATTGCTGTGCCAAAAGTTTAGGAGCAACACCGACGTCAGGAAATTAAAAAATGTAGCCTATCTGAAACCTTAAAATCCTATTTCCTGGTTCTGTTAACATACTGGTGGCTTCAGCAGTGAAATCAAGATATTTAATAACTGACCTTGTCTCCTGTTAACTCTCTGACATTTGCCTTTGCTATAAAAGGGCTGTCAATTAAAAAGAAAAAGTTTGAAGAAAATGTATGTGACCCACTAGACCTTAAGATATTCAGTTGTGTAGTGTGTCACACATCCCATCAGTTCACATGAACAGGAAGTTAGATGGAGAGTGAAGGATGTACTTTTAGTTACTTTCTTCCTTTGGAATGTCAGGGAACAATGTGAGCAGGCACAGAGGGATTACAAACCCCTAAACTGCGACGTAATAACAAAGTGGTGTGTTTCAGGTTCTTGAGAATTTCACTACCTATGTTTGAGGTTCTGAAGAAATTCTTGAATCCAAAATTTGACACTTTCCAGATGCTTTTGTTTCGTATCTTTCTGCGACTGGATCAACGTGGCCATTTGGTTTGATCAGCAAAACAGAACTTTAAGCTCCAGAGTTTGCTTTAATGAAGCTGTCACCCATGGTCACAGACATTTTTTCAAACCTTGTATTCAAAGTGACAGCTCTTCATATTCATATATATAAAAAAAAACCTTAATATTTTTTATTATATCACACCCACTGTTCCTTTCCCGCCCAACGTACTTCCTGTGTGAGCAGGCCCAGCCCGCTCCTGGCCAGCACTCTTCAGCATAAATAATCAGCAGTGCTACAGGTGCACCCAGTATGATAATCAGAGAGAGCAGCTACCCACTCCTTAAACTGTATACCTGCTTCTTTAAATGCCATGTACTGTGTTGTCAGCATTCCAATCATTCCCACAGACTCTCAGATGAGGAACCGAGACCCCAGACAAAACTGTGACTGGATAACTGTCTGCTTAAAACGATAGAACTAGAGTAATAGAACTAAATGCTCGCTGAATATACATTATTTATCATATCTATTTTTACTAGGTTGTATCAAAAGAAATAAGCATATTGCATATTACGATATATTTTTTTTTTTTCAAGTAAGAAAATATATTTAGGTTTTCATTCTGGTTAAACCTTAGGCACTATCAAGTTTTCAAGAAATTAATTTTTTTTTTAAACTTTTCTTTGTTTAAATAACTGGTTTGATTTTATGTGGCCCATATAAAAAAAGGTGAACGTAAACCCAGCCGGGCACTGAAGGGGGCGCTTAATGAGGAAAAACTAAAAAACGTAACTATTTCCTACAAAGTTCAGAGATTGTCACACCGTCACTGTGGCGGTGAATTCATGTAGATACTGGCAGCTCCTCGCTCGCTCACTCACTCTGCTTACTTCACCGGCAGGCAGGTGTGAACTGTGTGTGTTGGCGATGGCAGCTCATAAGTTGACATCACGTACATCTGTGGGGGTGCTGGACTGGTCCTGCTGCTCCATGGCTTTGTTTCCAGCACTGATGCCGTTCTCCTGACGATGCTGCTGACCCTGCTGCAGGCTGCTGGCCAGAACACGCTCGATTTGCTCCTGGCAGGCCCTCAAACAGTCCTGAATGAGGGGAAAAAGAAACCCGACCAGGTTAGAAGTTGTTGTGGGTTTACTGCATTTCATTTAGTGTGTCAAGACCCAGAGGGCAGTGAGCCAACGACCATACTGCCAACATGAGTTGTCTCCAAATTCTTTTAAGCGGCTTTTAAAAGTCTTGACTTTAAAAGCTATTGTCCTCTGTAACTACAGGGTAAAAAATGGCACTCTGCTTCCTGTCAAAGGTTATGGGGAAAGCTGAAGTTCCCCACTCAGAAATAGATATCCTTCACAAACAGGTCACCAGTCTACAGTGACATTAAAACACCTGAAAAATAAATGACTCCTCTACTTTTACACCAACAATCTCTGTGTCTGGATGTTCTTATTGTGTTGGAGGACAACTGTTTATATTTGCAAATTGTGGTCTGCCAATATTTTAAGATGAGGAAATACCAATTTCACCATAAACATTGCAATAAGTTTGGCTTTTTATAAACAATCTGTAGCAGCGCCGGCATTAGCTAGCACCAAGGCTAAAACAAGAAGCTGAGTGTGGCTAATTCTATTCAACAGGAATTTTAAAGGTTCAAGAAGCTCTGCAGCGACACGGTTCATGAACATTCCTCTGAGCAAGAAATTAAATCAAATTAAAGTAGTTTTCATTTTTATAGAAAATGTGTCTTTGCTGAACAATTTATTTATAGGTTCTGTAGCTTTACTTTGACTAGTTTGAGCTTGTTCTGGTGTCACTTCAGAGCTTCAACATGTTTTGTTAGCTCTTGTCTTCATCATCATACATAAATAGAGCACAGTTGGACCAAGGACCATTGGAAGGTGAACAGAGAGTTTATCTTGATTACCAAGATTTCATGTCTGGCACATCTGGTGCACAAATCATTTAACAACTGTGGTCACATGCGTGGCATTCCAGGGGGGAATTATGTATTTACAGTAGGTGGTCCTGTCTGCAGCATCAGGACCCAAACAAAAGGTGCCAGTACAGACTGGTACCAACTGAACCAAGCTCAATGGTGGACAAGAGGCTGACGTCAGAGGGGAGAGATGAGGGAGCTTTTCTAAAAGGTTTTATGATCTGTAGGGTTAAATTCATAGGCATATTGGCAGACTATTGTTACATTCTTGCACTTTTAGTCTGTTCCTGCATTTCATGGAAATCAAAATAATATTTGGAGCTTTAATAGAAAATCTGTAACCACATCTGAAAGAAAAACTCTCTTTCTCCACTCCACCCTTCCTCCTGACAGAGCGGTCAGTCCCATGAGGAGGCCAAAAGGAAATGGGCCTCAACCTACTGCACTTTGACCTTCAGAGTTTGGGTGTAAAACAGAATACAAGTCAGTGGGACCGGATGTTTTTGGACATGTCTTGCGACAAAGCAGATGCTCTCCACCCCCTCCCACCAGCTTCTCCCCTCCACACACACACACACACACACACACACACACACACACCATCCCCTTCCAGGGTGAAGACATGGGAGGTCTTCCCCACTGAGCTTTCTGCAGGACTCATGAAGAATGCACTGAGGCTCACAAAGAGGCTGGCATTCCTTTGAAACGCACGGATAATTGGAACCTGATGGACTGCAGTCAGGGTGTCTGTTGTGATTGCCCTGTTGTTGGGGTGTGTGTGGGGGGGGTTACGTGTTGCCCTGGCAACCCCACAACTACAAGCTAAGGGGGATTGGTGCTACTAAGCTCTAATGACAGCATTCTATTTTCTGATGTCACAGAACACAGTGAGAAAGGTGCAGACACTGCTATGAAAATGTATTTTAAAATGGATGAATTCATTTATTTTTACAGCCTAAACGTGCATCATAATGGAATGGGTAAAACGTTACACTTTTCATATTAGTAAACTTCACCTTCAACCAATGTCAGTCCTTCAAAAATGTCAGACGACAGCTTATGTGACAATATTCTGGTGAAACATAGTTATCTTATGTTTGGGGTTTTTTTGCAACCTTGTTTCTCCACCAGGAGGGGCAATTAGCTAAAGCTGGAGCCATAGGAAGAAATTGCATGTGTCCTACCACAAGAATGTAAGTTTGGAGTTTTCAAGAAGACGTTCCCTCTGCTGCTGCTCTTTATAGCAGCAGTCTGGCTCCCCGGCCAATAGAGAGTGGGAATCGCTCTCCTTCTCTCTCCACCAAAAGTAAATAGCTTCAATCTGCTACGATTGAAGTCATCGCTGACATTCACCGACAGACTTTTACGAAGCTGTCGTGAGACGATGCAATGATTACGATTAAACCTCCCTACGCGCGATGCATTGTTCAGGACTTAAACCATTAGGTTGTGGGAGTTAAAAAACCCTCCTCACGGTTATACTCACCACCTCTGTGTTTGTGATTTTGGCCAGCAGATCTGTGAGACCTTCTTGACTGAGACTGGGGTCGACCTGCTCCAACTTTAGGCCACATACAGCAGCTCCCATACTGCCAGAGGCGATCATGGAAGGAGGGTTCATGGCGAGGCGGTCATCTGGAAGGTGAGGAAGAAGCTTTATGAAACAGGGAATTCACATTTGTATCATTGACACAAAGTAGTGACCAATCAGCCCAGAGGAAGTTCATCTCTATGGCTGAGAGCAACTTTCCCACAGACTAGATTTCAAGAGAGGGGGCCGCACAGAGGAACCTGCGTGGTTTTTCTACATAGAAACGACAGCCCTGATTAGAAAAACAGAGTATCCAGCCTCCTACTCCCTGAGAAATGAGTTCCAGGAATGACTCCCTTTCAGTTTAAATCCAACACTGACAGACCTAAGCGACAACAGACCTGGACAGAGAAGGCAGAAGGGGATTACAACACAAGCCAAGAGCCAAGTGCTTCCTAAAGAAGCTCATAACTTCCCTTACCTTAACAGTTATTTCTATTTTGTGGGAAACTCTAGACTTGCAGTCATAAAGTGTCTTATCTGATCACTGGGAGATCTCCTAAAATGGTCTGTTCAGTTCACTAAGTTTCTGCATGATGTCTTTTTACAGAACTGGGAAAGTTTAGAACCAAGAGAGGAGGCGTGATTGGCCTCGGTGCTATGGATGACATCATGTTTCATGAAGTCACCATGTCCACATGTGACCAATCCATAACAGAATGATCCATAAAATGCATCTAAATCATGAGAGAGAAGAAACAAACACTTGTTTATTTTAACATGTGGTAACACACCAACCAACATGACAATATTTGATTTGTTCACTGCACTGATTCATCTTTCTCTTTCTGATCCAAATTCTGGTTTTTCCTGCTCGACCTTTGATTCATCTTCACCTGATTTATCAGCTGAATAATCTGATCCAACAAATATTTACTCTAGCTAATGAACCAGTTTGCCACATGACCAAGCACAGTGCAAGAAAACAGATGTGAGCCAAGTTGGACAGTACATTAAGTGTCACTAAACCTGTCCTCTAAATGGGAAAACTCTATTAGAATGTTCTATTAGAAAACAGCTTGACCATAAAGATACGACCAAAGCTTTACCACTGACCTCAGCTTACATTACGAGTTATTTTCAAAAGTTCTAAAGTTCTTTCTCTGGGGTTTCACCAGGCTCACAAAATTTTGATGCACTTCAGAACTCCGTATCATCAACCTTCACCTTTGGGACTCTTAAACTGCCTCATTTTGTCAAAGTCATTTGGTCTAAAAGTCTTGTAGTGTCTGTCAGAAGACTAACCAGTTAGCACAGCCCCAAGCTTGCTGCTCTGGCAAACAATACTCTGCTGTGTGGGAGGAAAGTACGGGAAGTATGTGTCAAGCCTTTTTCTAGTTGCGGAAGCTAAACCGCCTATTTTACAATAGCATTAAAACCTGTCATGTAGTTTTTTTGGTGGGGGGGTTATTTCAGATACTCCAAAGGCATCTTTCGCCACGATTCTGAATATTTTCCCTTTCCAGTCAAGAACACATGCAATAGTCCACTTGAGGCCAAGAAATCCATCCAAACGTTGGACAGTCTTGCCAATACAAAGCAATATTCTTGTGTAAGTGGACCACTGCATGTATCAGTGTATCAAGTTAAACAACTCTGCTGACAGGTGGAGGCCATTACTTTAAAATTAACAGTAATCTACTAACCTGACGTCATGACCATTACAAGTACATAACGTAGAGCTTTGGAAACAATGGCATGACCTCGGTCAGTGTTAAGTTTAATTAAGACAAAAACTAAATAGGAAGTTATTTGGGGTGAAACGTTGAGGACGAAACACAATGATACATTAGTATACTATTTAAAACCAGATGAAAAAAAATGTAAATATACATACATAAACAGAAATGTGTGTGTGAATTTATGTACACAAAACATTTTATCGACTAAATTGAATTAAATTTTGCGGAATTTAATCATTATGATTTTCAATAGACCAAACTGAACTGAAATATTGTTTAAATTGGGAGTAATACTAAATATCACTTGATTCAAATGACTAAGACTTACGCTAAATCAGGATTGGCTGTCAAAATTGACAAGCTCCACTGATGCGCTCCGCTCACATCACATGACCTGTTCTGAAAGTCACTGCACGAAGCCATGTCCTACACAGCCTGTCTTTCTTTCATTACTCTGAGGAAGGCAACAAATTCTAATGGCAGTAACCAACAACATGGAGTCCAAGTTATTGGTCAGGTACTATGTATTTTAGAGGTTAATCATATGAAAAGGCACTAAAACTCACACAGGGTAAATGCAAAAACATTAAGGTGTTAATCTTTGCAATTTGAGTTTTTACATTTATTTTATTCCCTGCAAAAGTGAGTCGACATTTATGGACAGAAACTGCACGACTGCTATCCTAACTGACAGGTATCAAGACGCCAGATTGTCTCTTCCTTTCACTTTCAAAATAAGGATGTATTTATGGGCAGAAGCTGCACGTCTGCTATCCTAACTGACAGGTATCAAGACGCCAGATTGTCTCTTCCTTTCACTTTCAAAATAAGGATGTTATCTGGTGTAAAAAGCAGACTTTGATATTACAATACATACGGGATCGTTCCCAGTTGCAGCCCAGTGCCACCCAGTGCCAGTGTCCTGTTAGCTTTGATCAAACTGTCTGTCTTACTACACCCATCTTCTCCACCAGGGAGCAGCTGTCCATAGGAGGAGCTGCTCCATCAGAAGAAAAACATCTCGACTCTATATAAAACTCCAAACATTTACATTACTGCAGAACCACAGAAGGGCCTCCTTTTTTCCACTGTGGCTGCTTTGTGCTTGGATATAACTAGCTGCTTATGAATAGCAGAGGCGACCACTGAAACACACCCAAATATAAAAAAAAAAAGTGTGTGACACTAAAACTGTGCTGAGCAGGGTATGACATTCATTGAAGGAGTTTGTGATGGCAATAACAAGCTCTTGTAAACTGGTGTTTAATGGCCAGATTGGACTGTGAAGGAATTTCTGGTTATTTTTATTGCTGTAAAGTGACCTCATTTCATTTATTTCCTTCACTGAATTAGCTGAGAGGAAGTGGCACATGAAAGGAAGCCTTGTGACAGTGGGTTGCTGCATGATATGCTGATTGTTCAAGGTGATTTTGGGTACTGGTGCTTCTATCCAGGATACAAAAATATTAGAGGGATTCCTGATATAGACAAAGGAATGTCAGGAAAATTCCCCGGGGAAGAGGCCAGAGGGGACATGAGTTTGTGCTTCTGCAGATCCTCCAGAGTTTATTCTGGACATGAGGCCAGGAAGAGAGGAGGAAGGAAGATTGCTGGATCATTGCCCTGACTTTTTAAACTAAATGCTGCTACGTCAATAAAACAGCTGAGGACAAATTTCGTCTGCACCTGACGGGTTCACTAACAATGTAGCAAATAGGATTTGTGAATCTAAACACAGCGCTCGCACATGATTTTCTTCTTCTCAGGCGTGGAGCAAAAGAAAAAAATGTGAAAATGACCATGTGAGGCAGCTTGTTGCAGCTGCTGGGCCGTTGTAAGAAAAAAAAAACCCTTACAGCACAGGCTGTGGAGAGAAAAGTGGATAAGACAGCCAAGGCAGAGAAAGAGGTCAGAGAGAGATGACTCACAAAAGGAGAATGTTTGCGTGTGTGGGAATATTCCTGTGAATGTGAAGCGAGTAAACTTAGGAGTACGGAAATGCTGAAGGCACATGAAATGACATGTAGCTGCATTACCTGTGGCACAGAGGGCGATGAATGTCAGGGTGTGTTTGCGGATCGTCACCACATTGTCTTTGGGAAGGGGAAGCCTGCGTATGATGTGCTCTATGAAATCATTTGGAATGACTGAGGCCATGTTCCACTTCAATTTTCCCAGCACCACCAGTTCCCAGTTCTGAAAGAAAGACATCATGAAAACCTACTCAGTCTGAGGGTTAAATGGCACGGTGCCAAGCCGCCATGGACCATGACCAGATTCTCTGTTTTCCAGCGGAAGTGTTTTCTGTAAGGGGAGAAACATTTGTGCTCTTCCTCTCTCCTCACTGTATCATATCGTGTGCGCGCCACTCTTGATTCCTCTTGTACCTTGTGTTCACTTGGCCAACATGTGACAAGTTTGGCCGGGTATTGAGGCCCTGCCAGTGAACGAGCTCGCTCTTCACTTGCTGTCACAAGTCTCAGACAGCAACCATGAGTTTGCACTGCACAGGCTGCGGCAAAGAGCTAACACTTCACACAGAGCCAGTCTGTTTGCAGAGGAGCAGAATGCTTTCATTTCAAATGATTTCATTTCCAGGGTCTTAATGAGTTTACAGACACTCATCTTCTCCTGTCTGGCTTTCACATTTTTTAAATGAGTAATAGGAAGTCATCAACTCTGATTCAAGGACATTTATTTCCAGGAAAAAAATTACTCTTATCCATTTGTTGAAAACCCAAAGGCACACAAGATAATTTTGATGATAACCTGAATTGTTGCTTGTTTTAGAAAAGCTATTACTAATTTCCAAATGTTTCCAAAGCTTTTTATGGTAGTTTATGCTGCTAATATTTAAGCTAGTAGCATATGGTGTCTACCTCCTTGCACATGGTGTTTTATTAGTCCAGGTTCACATTCACCTATGTGGAATTCTCTAAGATGAGTCACTTCCTTAACATGTGGACTCATTAGCCAGTTGCTATGAACATCAAGCCCATCTTATCTTAGCCTGATACAAACTGTATTCTGTGAATCCATCCTCCCCAGTTAAATGTTTTTAGCACACATTCGGTCTCCTCAAAGTACAATCAATCAGTTAGTATTTATGGCTAACACTAACATTGTTAAGCCCAGTGTTTCTCAAAGTAGGGGGTGCCACTCTAGAAGGGAGCAGAGCTCATGCAGGATGGAAAATTTAATCTTAAATTTACATTTTCTTCTTTACTTTCTCCCACAGTGCGAACATTTATTTTCCTCTGTTCGATGAGGATAGTTTTGTAGAATGCATATTATATGAACATAGATTATTATTAAAGTTGAAAGTGAGCTGCAAATGGGTGTGTGTGTGGGAGATGAGGGAGGGGTTGCGGCACTAGTTTAGTCAATTAACTCCATATCAACTGGAAACCCGCCGAGGTGTTAGAAAACACTTGAACAGATGACAATTATGTTCATCTCATCGCCTCACTTCCTGTGTAACCAAAATGTTGTAAAAGCCGAAACCCTTCTGCAGCTGGGACAGCCCCAGTTATTTTTTTCGATCAGGAGATCATTAGTCATCTAAAATGCCTGACGACTTTCACATTTGCATTGGTTTCTCTCAAAATCCTTCAGAGCTGTCGGTTGTCCTGCCTGGACACTGGTCTTCGTTGTCTTCTAACCCTCTCGTCAGCCTGCTGAAGATAGTTCTTTGGTTGTTGTTGGGCTGTAGGAAACACTTCCCTCCTCTGAAATTCTCCTAACGTCTCTTAGCAAAAGATTTAGATGTTAAGTGCGGTGTAAATTAGTTAGTCATCGGCCTCTACTGGTGTATCAGTGTTCATGACAAGGAAGAGCTGCAGCATCCTTCACTGGCTTTTGCTGCATCCTGTGAGGATATCCAGGGATCACAAGTCTCATGACACAATATAGCATTGAAAAATAACAAATGCTATTTCCTTCTACAACTGCCCGCTCCATTGGACGCTGTCAGCCGAAGGGTTACAGCACTTTGGTCAATATAAAAAGCGGGTCAAACCCTTTGGGCGGTGAACTAGTCAAGGCTCCAAATGTTTACTCAGTGGCTGTCTGATAAACAGTAAATCTTGCGTGCAAAACCATTGGTTGAGTCATAAATAAACAGCTTGTGCTTAATCTCTTCCCAAATTCCACACAGTTTTAAATTACAATTTTATCAACCAAATGAAAAGGTCACCATCCTCTCTCCTGTCTGGTTTGTCCAGACAAAGCTCAAAAGAAGAAAAAAGACTAAAGATAAAACCTGCATGTGGAGTCATATTTTTGGCTTATTGGCTGTCAGAACATTAATAAAGAAAACACAGTATGTATTTACCAAAATAATAGTGATATTTCACTATATTTCATTCTTTATTTTTAGATGAAGTAAAAATATTAACCCATTGATTCTATGCTGAAACCACAGCCTATGCTGTATTACTGGCACTAGATGGCATCACATCCCTCCCTGGTCCACATGGATCCAATGAAGGATGTGACTATTGTGTACAGGCCTATAAAAGGGAAACTTCCTGTGTAAACAAATTAATTCAATGATATAATTAAATCATCCAGAAAGATGATAATTCTTCTTTAGGGTCCTTTAAAGGGTGGCAGAGAAAAAAAAGGAATGAGGTTTTTTTTTTAATTTTTACTTACCAGCAGATCCTGTAGTGGAAAAATGTATGAGTTTTCTTTTTTTTTTTACTTACCAGCAGATCCTGTAGTGTGATAGAGTTGTCTGTGTACATGCAGAGTTTTTCTGCTGACAGTGGCCTGCTGTCTTTTAGCTTGGAGGCCAGGAACATGCACACAGCCGCCAGAAGCTGCAGAAAGCTTTTCCGAGTGGGCATTACTGCTAAAAACCTGTCCAAATAATTAATTGATAAGGGGAAGACGTCCTCACAGCACCTCTCCAATTCACAAACCTAGAAGGAGACACAGAGGTACGCTTTACTGTATATGATTATAATATATGTTGGGATTCCTACACTAAAGACAAAACAAGTAAAGGTAAAATAAGCCCATCATAAGTTATGCTACTTGACACAGCAGCAGTGGTTTTGCATTCGGATATAGGCCATTTTAAGACATACCCATAAGGGGCAGTACCCAAAGAAAGTTCTCCTTTACCCCTTTGGCAAAAGATTCATACAATAAATGACCATTGGTTGTCTTGCAGGGTAAGAGTTTAACGGTCCATTGAAACTGTTTTAGGCAGTATTTTCATTTTCAAATTTAATTGGATATAAAATATGCACAAAGACATTTGGATCACTAAGCATAATCTACAGGCATCAATTCTGAACGTGTTACTGTTAAAACAAAAACCCACCAGGCTTGTATGGTAGTGAAACAGGAAGTACTGTTGTCCACATACATTGAAAATAAAAGCAAATAAAATGATCACAAAATCAATAATAATAATAATAATAAAATGATTAGGAATTGTGAAATGAATCCCAAGACCCATCTGTAAGACCCGACCCAGTCTTTTGGAATGACTGGTCTAAATCAATCACTTGCTTTGTATTTTTATTAAACACTAAGGGTTTTCCACTGATTTGTCAACATTAAGTCATAAGAAATGCACAAAACAAACAGGTTTTTATTTGTTTACATTGTTTTTTAAGTGAAATCTCATTCTCCACGGCAACATTGCATTCGAGGATTAAAAATTAATAAAAAATAAAATAAAAAGCATGGCACTTGTTGAATGTGTTTAAAATGTTCAAAGGTTATGGTAAATTAAAATCCGACGGTTAAGATGACGGACTTTTAGCTAACAGTATGTGTTTTATCATTAAAAACGAGAGTGCTGTGCTGCGTTCACTGTTCCTCACGTTCTTCTTCAGTGTCGGTGGAATTAAAAAAAAAAGAATAATTGAAGGAAACTTAACAACTCGGGGTTTGATTATGTAAATGAAAAGAAACTCTTCTCCTGTCGTATGCGGTGACTACAGAACCGAAAAGCGACACGTTTGCGGGTGTGAACCGGTGTAAATATGTAAGCTAAGCTATTTCTAAGAAGTCTTTTTTTCTCTTCGTGGTGGAATTTCCGTCTCCGTCCCACGCATTTGTGAGTCATTGTCATTCAATTGTCAATTGGGTCAACATCCAGGATTGGTCTCTGTGACCTTAAGTACACGCTTTCTTAGCCCAGACATTAGCTTGTAATATGCAAATACACAAACAAAATTACAGTTAAAGCATCAATGCATGAAATGCTGACCAACCTCGTGCATCCAGCCTGCAACTATTCGTCTCATATAGGGTTGAATGTCCTTCTGGACCCGCTGAAAGTACGAGCACTGAGGTAAAAACCTATCCTCGATTGTTAATAAACTTTGCAACACTCTGTCATCATGGAGGATGTGCGGGTCAGGCAGAGCTTTCACGGTTATGTCCGACTCCAGGCAATACAGCTCCGAGACTTGGGTCACCTTCTTTCTCCCTCCGCTTCTGTCTTTCTCCATGTTTTTCTTAAATATACAATATTGAAAATAATAAATAATAATATTAAGGTATTATCAGCGGCGGGCAGGAGGAGGAGAGGAGCCCAGGACGAAGCATGAAGCTGAGACTGTAGGCTTAACTCCAGTCCTGTTGCTGCCTCCTCTGTTCACTTCTTCTTCGTCCTGTTTCTATGCAGCTGCAAATCACCGTCCAACCAGCAGAAATACCACGTAACTTCCGGTATGTCTTTCAAAAGAAAGTATTTTCCTGTTGCTATTCTAAATTATTGTGGTCTGGCTAGACTTAATGTTCTTATTTCAACGTTTATATTGCGTTTTCAGTGTTATTTCATCTGTTATATTAATTTCGCACCTTTCATTCGCTTCATTTGTGAAGTTAGTTAGTCCACGCATCCACGAGTTTTCGTTCGCAGAAGAGACTGTAGATAAAAGATGGACGTGAATAACATCCGGTGAGGTTGTTTCTGCATGCAGACAAAAGCAAAAAAAACAAAACATATCTTCCTTGGAAATTGTAATGTTGCCAATTTATCTAAGAAATGCCGTGAGAAACAGACAACCAATATGTTTACTTTGCTTTACTTTGTTTGGCAACGACTTTCTAACGACTAATTGGAAATACATTTCACACGTATTAAAATATAAGAGGTAAAATAGTTTTATCTTAGTTATTTCTTTGTTTATAGTTTAACAACTTTGTAACACCTAATGTATATTTTGTTTTCATTTTATGTTTATAGAACCAATTTTTCACTGCTTGCACAATGAGAGCAAGCGTCAGATTCCTGGTTCGTGCACACATTTTGCCAATGAAACTGGTTCTGATTCTGATTGGTGACACTTTGTGTCTGTGCTTCACACGTGGTCACTATTAGCAAATAAATAGTGTTCCATCCTTATTTTGCTAATTGTACAAGGGGAAATTCTATTGAGAATTTTAGACAGTTGCGACTGTAGAAATAACCATCTCTCTGTCTAAATGAGACTTTTCACCCGATACTTAAGATGAGTAAGAATTTTTTTTAATAATGTGGCATTTTGCCAGCCTCCCATTAAAAACATATACAGTAAAAAGATGATGAAGTGGTGGTTAAATTATTAAATTAAACATCAAGCATTTAACATAGACTTTGAACTTAAGCTCAACTTTCGCTTTCACTTAACTGATTATCTGTTAAGTGACTATGAATGTCATCCTACATCAAATGTTTTTTTTGGCATAGAATAGAATAGTCTTTATTGTCATTGTAACAACAAAATTGAGGGATATCAGGTTCAGCCTGAAACCTCTTAAAGAAATATTTCTAACATGAGCGATTCACGTGTGTTAACACACTTTTATCATGCTGGTGAATTTCTATGATACAAACCTGCAGCTCAATGTTTACAGGTTTTCAAACTGTGATAGAAACCTGTCTATAACTGTGTGTTGGCCTTATGCTGAGAGTAAGCTTAGAAGTATTTGCATTTTTTGTTAGTCAGGATAAGTTGTTCCACGGTGGCAAAAATTCATGAAGATATTCCCATGACAAAGTGTATGACCGGGACATTAATCACTTTCCAGGCAAAACTTTTCCAAACAGGAAGTCAGTTGGCGAGGTGGATTGCCAAAAGATGAAGGCATGAAATCTGTCCTTGTAAAAAGGTTTTTCTATTGTTTTGTCTGTAAAGGTAGGATATCGGCTGTGGAAAAACAGGAAGTCCTGTACAATTTGACTCTCTACTATTTAGACAAGTCAAATTATTTTTGTGCGACTTGCAACGTAAATGATCTGTAAGTGATCTGTGGTCTGAGGGTCCGTGAAAACCCACGAGTGAGAAAGAAAACGACATGACAATTGCAATCGATTAATGTAACCAACAAGTGTATCTGTGAAGAGGTGTATCTTTGTAGCTGAACAGAAACATGGTGATGACGGCAATGAGAAGACTGGGAGCCTCCCAGGAGACAAATGCCTCGTCCAGACTGGACCTGAAGACAATCTCTAGGATAAACGTGAGGTAAAATATTCAGTGGCTTCTGAATAACTGTAGTATGTTAGAGAAAAGGTTTTAAAGTTTAAAGAGACAGAAGCTTCCATTAGCTTGTGAATGACTCCAAGGACAATAGACATCTTCATCTTGATGGAATTCAGGAATGTGAGCTTGTTGCTAGCAACGTTTCATTTCTGAATCAGATCTGAGTCAGATCTGGAGCTGGAGTTAGGATCCAGCCTGATGGAGTACTCATAGTTGCACAGTTAGGTACAATACACAGTCAAGCAGCTTCATTTCATTTCTAAATGGATTCTTGCAGCTTGCTGCTTTCTTTTTTTTTTCCTGTTTTGAGTTTAACAGCATTAGCTCGGCAGGTTAGCAAGCTCAGCGGGCCATCCCTCTGTCTGTTGATGAAGATGATGTTAAGTCCCCAGGTCGATGTTTTGGCCCAAAGAGGGTCAGTAGAGAGGCCAGAGAAGCCTACCATAGCTGACATTCAAAGCAATGACACTTAAGGAAAACAGAGGTGCCAGCCAGATAAAGCAGCTTTACACTACTGCCTCTGTTTGTGCATGCGTCCTATGATAACACATGTCAGCCACTATCACACACTCCAGGCTTCACAGAGGTAATAGAGAGCGGCAAAAGCCCTGGGAAAAAGTGGAGGAGCGTGAAATCACCTTGATCCAAAGATTCCGTCTGCATACCAGTCCACTGAAGCCACCAGAGCACAGGGGCCCGGAGATGGGCAGAATGCCACTGATCAGGGGCTCGAGACAAAGAGAGACAAAGAAAACGGAGAGGTGTCGGGTGGTGGTTGAGTTCCTTAATCTCAGAGATCGGATTAAAGCTCATCTTATGTATTTCCTGTTGGGGATCAAGTAGCTTGTTCCATGAGGGAGGCCTCTGTTGGATGCAAACACAAGATTTACTTTTACATGCAGCTTCAGTGCGGAGCTTGATTACAGGTTGCCCATGTACTGTGAGTCAATCTGGCTGTTTGGGTTTACTGACAGCAGAGAAGAGGATGCTATGGCTGGAATGTTGTGGTGAACAGTGGTGAAAACTCCTCCCAGCGCTGAGGTGTACTTCTACAGTGCTGCAGACAAAGGGACTTCTGCCTGTTACATGGTTGCAACGTTGCTGGAAGTGGAACTAGCAAGCGTTGTTAAAAGAAAAAAAGAAAAGGAGGAGGTGATAAAAATGTTTATAACATTTTCTTTCACCTGCTATTTCGGTCAAGCTATCAGCGCGATGGAGTGCACCACTATCACAGGCGTCACACATCAAAGCAGTCCTGTCATTGCCAACTACTTGTAGAGTGACCAAAGCGGCGAGTGACAGAGAAGGTGATTTCCTTCTCCAAGTTCAAGAAGTTCAGTTAATGTTGTGCAGGCTGGGATAAATAACTGTTTGGAACCGCACTGCTCCGCAACTGTTGCTGTGGTTTTTCTTTACCCCTCATTTCCTAATTATATTTTTTGGATGTGTAAATTCCACTTCCCTATGGCTTGACTACCACCCACCATCAGAGCCTTTGAGATGTAATTGGAAGCAATGTGGTGCAACCAGCTAATTTGCACCCAGCTATGCTGCTAGATTAGAAAACAAATGGAGTGTCACCAAATCAGCACAAGGCAAAGAGGGTGTTCCCTCCCGCACAGTCCCTTTGGAATGTTTTGGCTAAACTGAAAGCCATCATTCAAACTCAAAATGCCAATGTTGAGGGAGACAATGACAAGACAGACAGGCAACTTCCTGGCCTGGACCTTAGTTGTCTCAGCCAAGAACACAAGAGGGATTCTTCTCTGCAGTTTAAGCCTCGGTCACTGACCAATCTTCAGCCTGTTTCCATTTATTCTGTGTACAAGTCTGACGTCTGGCAGCCTGCGTCCTCAGCCATACCAGCGTCTCTGGGAACATTGCTCGATTTTTCACCAATGCACTCAGTAATAACAGGCACAGGAGGGGAGAGGAAGAGGGTCTATTTGAAACAAAAAGGGTCCTGTATGTTATCAGGACAAGGGGTCTGGGTTTGTGCTCCAACTTACACAATACTGCTCTTCAGAATCCTACGAAGGGACTAATGGGCTTTGGAGGTTACATCTTTATTTATTCTCCGTAAGATGACGAATAGCCATTTATCATACAGGCAGAGCCACTTGTAGATTTGTGTTTTTCTTTTTGTATTATAAAGGATAAAGTCAACATTTACGGTCACGAAGCACTGTTAGCGGAACAAAAAAAATTAAAAGTCTAAACATTGTTATCTGACATTTCCATGCTTCTATGCATGGAAAAAAGTAAAAAAAGTAAAGTACTTAAAATATAAAATATAAAGAAAAATAGTGTCGACTGGATTGACTCATAAACATGCTCAAAATATCTTAACTAATGCTCCGCAACATGAACAAGTCCCATTCAAGCCGACAAGGGAATTGTTTTGAAAATGACTTGTTCTCCCTGTTAGCTATTCCAAAGTGCTCACCAACAATTGCAAGAATGGTGTTGGCTTATGAACTTGGAGCTACATGTTTAGTATTATCAGAAAGAAAAAAAATCAACTGGTCATGATTACAATTTCTGCACAACGTTCTGGAAGAGCATTCGTTCTTCTGTGTGGGGCTGGGGTGGGACACAAAAGGAAAAGCCTGGATTCAGTCATAAGCCACAAGCGACATAGGTCGGATTTTAAGTGGGTGAGATCACATCCTCTCAGTTTCACCGTGAACAAACTTCATGTCAACGAGCAATCCTTTACATTACTGGACACATTTGGGATTCACACTTGCACCCATGCTCCTATAGCGTGGCCATTGTTCATGCTATGGGGACAGCATGTCTCTGCGAAATGAGGGAGTGATGTTCTTCATGTGCGAGACTGTTATATAACGTTGCAGTGGGGCCCCCTTGTTCCGTTCCAGCAGTTGACTCTGAAGTTCCCCCAGTTTTTCCTCACAACACAGATGTCTCAGGGCGGTCTCAGAGACGCAGACAAAGAGGGGGTGGGAAGGTGGGCTGCTGACTGGGTCTTGGCCAGGAGGCAGTGGCGGTCTGTCACAAATGAACAAGTGTGTGTGGTCAGAGATTAGCGCTGGACGGAAACAAAGAAAAACGTCTGGCGGAGAAGCTCCTATGGCAGCTGTAAGGATACTCGAGGGTGAGGGACGTTTAACAATGATGCGACCTCTGATTGGACAG